TTGAAAGATACAAATACGATGAACGAAAATCTTCGAGGCCACTACGTCCTGACTCCTAATAAATAAAATTTGTCACTGCAAGTCCGAGATCGAAATCGAATTGTGAAACTTGTGTTCGGAAGTTGCAAATTACTCACTGACCCCGAATACCTTCCCGTCGTCCGAGGCCACTATCGGATGAATCCGAAATACGTCGCGGGGACTCAATCGGGCCCAAAGCCGAGGTTTAATGAACCTTACTTGCGAACCTCATTCATTATACAATCACTAGCTCAAGCCTGTGAATAAATTCACGGGCGTTGGTAAGTTGAAAGAAATTTATTGAGTTGGTTTTCAGTCATTTCATGCTCTTAGACCTTTTTTCCCCTTGACTTACCCCTTTTGCTCCTCCTCAACTCCTCCTCCCTGTCTTTGAGCTTTTGCCATGAGCCTGTCCCATCCCTATGAATAAATTTACAGGCATGGATAAGTTGAACTAAAAGTGAGTTATTAGCAAGATTATTAGAGGACTGCCTTCAGGCTGCAAACAACATTTTTGTCTCGGAGGCCTCTTCTTTCCAGCATTATCTTTCCTCTGGTCCTGACCCTTGCCATTGCTATATGCATGTCCAGTTATTCCTCACCACTGCTTTTCGGCAAGTTCAAGCATCAGCATTGCAAAGTGTACTGGTCACCACATTTGCGGCTTCTTTGTGCCTGGCTCGGCCCGGCCGCGGCACGGTTCATCTACCGGGGCTCTTCTCGGCTCGGCGCGTTCTCGGCCATGGCTCGGCAATGAGCATGACCGTAGGCGTCAAGTGGGCGTGGGATTTCGAACTTTCTTTGATGTTCGTTATACCACCCCATTCTATTATATAGATAGATTTTCTCCTACGGCAATTTGACGTCACACGCCGCGGCTCCTCAAGGTTCAGTAATGGTATTTGAAATGGTATATATTAGGGCCTGTGCCTCTCTTCCCTAGTTGCCATGTCAGACCACATGTTGCGTGTCCCCGACGCTCTTGACACGCGCATGCAGTATCAAGTGGGCCCAAGGATGGATTGGAATCTTTCCCTCAAGACAGGGATTCTCCATTGAAGTTTCGACCAGGAACGACTCGGAGTGCAGGGGAGAGATCATTTTGGTGGTAGGTCGGGCAAGGCGAGCTTGCGAGCCGGCCTGTGCATGAGACAAGGAGGGGAGACGCAGGAGCGCGTCCGGTTTCTTCTGTCTGCGACAACTCATTGTGATTTATTCGTTTCTGCTTGCGCCGCTCACCCTCTCCGCACAGTTTTTTGAGGCTTGGAGCCCTCTTTCAAGGCCTCTCTATGCTTTCTTAGTGTGCTGGTGCTTTTTCATCCTGCCTTCGAGTCTATTCTTTCGACACTTCTGGGCTGGATGCGCCGATGCGCCGACATTTCTATTCTTTGGAAGTTCTCCTCAAACTTGGCTTTTTTGGATTTCAAAATTTGATGCACTATTCAGTGCTCTGTGGTCTCAAGCTGAGTTGTTTCCTTCAAATTCTTTTGCTTTCTTTTCGTTTTGAGAGGGTTACCAGTATTTCCTTCCTTTTGAGTGCAGGCTCACCCGGTAACTCAGTTCCTTTGGGCTTACTTACTGTACATGTAACTCCGAAAAGCAAAGCAGAGCGAAGTGTGGTAGTTGAACTAATTGAACTTGAGTCAGCACTTGGTTCAAGTTATACTTTATACTCCTGTGGCCATGGCCCAGTGGTGTACTGGTAACATGTCCTCTTTCAATATACACAGGGAGATAAAGATTTTGAGGAAGTACCCTGTTTGATTCGGGTTGGGTAGCTAAGGTTTTTTCCCTCCCTTTTCCTTCTTTTTTGGGGGGAGGTTATTGATCCTTCCTTCCATTCCCCAGCTATCCCAGGCACTCGGTCCCATAGAGGTCGGGTAACTCACTGTACATTACTGTACCATTTCGACCAAGTCTTCAGCCCATGTCACGCGTCACCTAAGCTCTTCAGTGCCTGGATACTTTTAAGTATCCGGGTTCCCTATCGACCACCATCTGTACCCGATTAGGGCAAAATCGCCTTTTATAGTAAAAGTGCTCAAAAAAAAAGTGGTGTATAGCCACCGCACAGCCACTGATGTATGTAAGCATCCACTTCTGCAGAGGCGTCGAGGCTCCCCCCTCTGGCATCCTGCTTGCAACCACAGAAGACATTGAAATATTCAACACTAAGAATACACTTTCCTCTTTTTGATGCACAAGTGATTTTTTTCTTCCTACAATTCAACCATGAAAGAATTGGCAAATTCAGAAAATTCCAAAAGGTGTACTTGAAGATATCTCCCATCAGTTCATGCAACTGTCTGACCACCAGGCCCATAATGATTTTTCACTTCTCCTTCCAAGGATCCTAAAATGCGGCTCGGGTCAACTTGCTGCCAGGCAAGTCAGCGCCGAAGTCCAAGCGCGTGGTTCAAATTCAATGATTAGCTTCGACGCTACTGAATCGGGGCAACCAACATGGTGAGATCACCAGATGAGACTCGTTGCAAGACACAACAGACTTATAAACGATTCGTCGTCTCTATGATGCGGCTTTTTCGAGAGGGTCAGGATAACTCAAGATGAAGCAATGGCCCCAAACACCAAGTACTATAGCCTGCTTATATTCTTTGCCTGCATTTACTAAAATGATGGACAAGTTCCTTGGTAGTGACACAAGAAACTGGGGTATCCAGGCTTCGCCCACTAGGGCCATTACCTCGGAATTTATTAGGTCTTCATTCTGACTAATACGATCAAAAATTGCCTTAAATGGAAGGCCGGCAGATGCCGGCAAGACATTTTTAAGCCTATTTGGGCTGAAAATTTTCAATGTCACCGTCACCACGACCAAAAGTCTTCAGTTCAGAGGGCCGCGTCATGCGTCACCTGAAGACTTGGTCGAAATGGTACAGTAACTCGGGTTTAAAATTCGAAGCAAATTACTTAGAGCAAAGTGTGGTAATCAGACTCAGTCACTCAGGCTCTCAGTACTTAGTTATACTTCTACAACTATAGCCAAGGTCTAGTGGTGTACTGGTAACACATCCTCTCCTTGTCCACCTGAAAGATGAATATCTGAGGAAGTGCCCTGTTCAATTCAGGGCTGGGCCATGATCAACTGAAAAATTGTCTAGATTTTTTCCCCTGTTCCTTCCCATTCATTCTTTTTTTGTGGGGGAGGTTGTTGGTATTTGCTTCCTTCCGAGCCCCGGTTCTGCCAGTCACTCAATGCATTGAGGTTGGTTTAGTCGCTGCGCATTGACTTGGGTCTGAAAATTCGAAATAAAGCAAAGCAAAGTGTGGTGGTTGAACTAATTGGACTCGAGCCAGAGCTTAGTTCAAGTTATACTTTTGCAGCCATGGCCCAGTGGTGTACTGGTAAAATGTCCTCTTATCTTATGAAGGTACCTTTATATTGGAGGAAGTACCCTGTTCAATTCGGGGCTGGGCCATTGATGTGGTTAACAATGTTTTTTCCCTTCCCTTTCCTTCTTTTTTGGGGGGAGGTTATTGGTACTTCCTTCCGAGCCCCGGTTCTGCCAGTCACTCAGTGCCATAGAAGTCGGGTTATTCACTGTACATTACAGCTCTATTCAGAGCAATGCGGAAAATGGAAATTTTTTCGAGTTGTTTGGCTAGGTTTGTATCGGGCGCCTAATTATGCCCAAAACTTTCTTCGTCCTTTATCCTCCTTACCCTTGCTCAAATTCTGTCTGCGCTCCTTCACAAGTCCACCTATATGTACCAGAGAGTCGTGGAAGCTGTCTGAGCACATCTGTCCCCTGATCAGTGTGATAAATGCGAGACTGAGAATTTTCAATCTTCACAGTTCCAGGCAGCCCGAGTGCCAATCGGACTCAGTCGCTGCTCGCCAGATTGTGGGCACATTCGGGGGATGGGAGGGGTATGAGAGGTATGGGGTTGGTCTGGACAATGCAAGTGAGCAAGCCCCACAATGCACGTCATTTCCGAGTGGCTAATGAGCCTGTTTTTCCTGCCGTCAAGTTCATATCAGCAGCACACCTGAACCTTGTGCAGGCTGCATCGAACACCAGCCTCAGGGTCGCGTGGGCATTCATGGACCTAAAAGGCCGTGGACACACAGTATCTCCACGGCCTGCACCGCGCCCGCCGTACGCGTCTGTGTCCGCTTCGCAGTTGCGTGCACTGTCCCGCCTCTCGAAGGCGAGAAAAACGGCTACTTTGGCCTCAGCGCATCTGACCCAACCAGAAAGGCGGATAGGAACCTTACTCCCAACGAGGACCGGCACGCGTCGCGCAACTCGGATGTTTCCGTGCGGCGGCAGACGTACTAGTAGTTTGCGGCGCCTGCGCTCTACACTCGCCGCATAGTGCACCCGTGGGGCCGTGTATGCCCCCCGCCGCGGTGGTGTGCTTTGGCTCCCTGTTCTTCGTGCGCCAGGAGCACGCGCTGCTCGGTGTTCTGCGCGAGGCGGGGCCCCAGGGATGCACCGTTGTTACGTGGACGACAGGGACCGGCTTCTTCATCACTGCTATGTATGCTCCAAAACAAATACAACAATCATACATACATGCTATGTACATATTTTCTTGAAATGAAAGAGCAGAGTCCAGTAAAGCCTCGAGGAAACAAGATTTGCCAGGCAACTCAGGGGCTCGACCAAACATGAGCAATCAGCAGAAAAAATTTCCATTTTCCGCATTGCTCTGAATAGAGCTGTAACTCGAGTTTAAAAATTCAAAGCAAAGTGTGGTAATTGAACTAATCAGACTCAGGTTCTCAGTACTTGGTTATACTTCTAGAAGTGTAGCCAAGGCCCAGTGGTGTGCTGGTTACATGTCCTCTCCTTATCTACTTGTAAACCCCGGCTTTGCCAGCCACTCTCTGCCTTTGGGCTCACTGAACATGTAACTCGGAAAATTCGAAGCAAAGCAAAGTGTGGTATAGTGGCAGTTGAACTAATCGGACTCGAATCAGCACTTAGTTCAAGTTATGCTCTTATTGCCATGGCCCAGTGGTGTAGTGGTAACACATCCTCTTAAGCTTCATGTATATTTCGCTACTTGTGAGGAAATACCCTGTTCGATTCAGGGCTGGGCCATCGTCCATTGGCTTCCAAACTTTTTTCCTTTCCCTTTTCTTCTGTTTTTGCGGGGGTCCAGGATGATGTTATTGATAAGGCTTCCTTCGAACCCCGGCTATTCCAGGCACTCGGTGCCATTGAGGCCAACTAGTGTACATGTAACTCCGAAAATTCGAAGCAAATCAGAGCAAAATTAAACTCGAACCAGTCCCAGAGGCGCGAAAGATCAAAGACAGTCGTTTGATCAAGTGCACCGGAGGGACTGGAGCTAAATCACCGGTGACTAGTAGACACGGGGATTGCCGAGACTGATTAAATGTCTTAGCCAAAATTTCCACTTCGTCGATGTACAGGTATTTTTTATCGAAAATCTGAAGAGACAGTTTTGTTGAGATTTGCATTCCAAAACGTTGGACGTGCTTGGAATTTTTTTAACTGTACGATTGACTTGACTACAGCAATTTCTTTGCGAGCATGAAATCACGTGATCTAGAGACCGCGACGATTTGGAAAGGCTTCATCAACGCAAATGGGGGGGATTTTGGATAGAAATAGATACAAGAGGTATACACTGGTACTCTCTGAGCTGTCTGGCTGAAATAAATGTTGTACGTGGTGGTTTCACTGTAAATAGTCCTGTGTGCTTGGAGCAACTCTTGTACACTTTCAAAGCATTCCAGTAAGCCTTCCTGTGAAAATAGCTACATTCAACGATGTATAATACATGAAGAATTGATTCTGGAATGTGTCTGGAGCCCATGAGAGTAATGGCTGCACGATAAGTGGGAAGTGCGATTTAGCCCCTATTTTGACTTGCACACAAGATTAGTCTATATAAAGGTGAGATCTTTTGCCATTGAAAATCGGAAGTCGTCCGAAGTCTTATAATTTCAAGGGCTACAAAACTGTCTACTCAGATTTCCTACACAAAATACTTTTGCAGGACGCTATCGAAATTTTCACTAAGACATTTAATCATTCTCGGCAAACCCCGTGTCTATGAGTCACCGGTGATTTGGCTCCAGTCGTTATTTGAACGTGCATTGATCGACTGTCATCAATAGTGAAAATAACGACTGGCTCGAGTCTAGAGCAAAATATAGTATTAGTAGTTGGGACTCAACTCAGGCTCTCAGTACTTAGCTCGAGTTATACTTTTGCTGCTATGGCCCAGTGGTGTACTGGTAACACATCCTCTTGTCTTATCGCACTTTTTCCTCCATTGGAGGCAGCACCCTGTTCGATTCAGGGCTGGGCCGTGGCAATAATATTTGGCTTCTTTTTGGTCTATTTTTCTCGGGGTACGAAATTCGGATTTAAGTTCGTGTTACTATTGTACTTGCATACAGCTGTAGTTTGGAGGAGTGAGTGCGCGAGCCGAAAACAAGAACAAAACCAGAACAAGGGGGCAGGCTGTGAGTACTGAGACTACGTATGTCTGGACTACGAGACAACGACGCCTGTGGCGAGCGACGGGTTGAAGAAATGTAGAGAGCAGGCACTGAGTTGGCTGTGAGAGGAGGAACATTGGATGGCGGGCAGGGGATCGGAAAGGCAAGGCAGAGGGATTCGGGGTTGACCTGGACTCGGACTAGGCTTCGGGTTCTCTCGCGGATTGTCGCGGATGTACTAGTAGAACCAGAGGCGCCGAAATGTGGTCAGAAGGTCGGACGAAGCGGGTGGGGGAAACCACTTGTGGACGTGCGTCACAGACTAGAGGAGAGGGCTCAAAACACGAAGGACTCAAGCTCGAGGATGCTTCACCGGATCTCGGTCACTCTCGGACACCCGTGCGCAAGTGCTATTTCCCGCTCGCGATATCATCTTGATTGGATGTAATTCCGGTGGCTGCGAGCGAGCAGAGTTCTGTTCATGTGCGTTGGTATGCGTGTCGTCATGGCCTTCAAAATTGTCGATGCGTTGTGAGCGCGCCGGAGGACAACTCAGACCGGGAAAGAGAAAGAGACGCCGCCCGCGCGTCGCCCGGCATCGCACACCGCATCGGATGGAGATGCCGGCGCGCAATGGTAAGTTTGAGGGAGTAATGGGCTAGAGTGTGACGCGGTCGCTGCGCAAGCAACGGGTGTCACGGCGTGGGAAGGGACAGCCTCCGTGCGTCCAGTCGTCAGTCGTCTTTGCTGCTACTCCCGACCGCCAACTAAACTCTTCCTCGTTTGAAACGGTCCGTCGTTCTCGTTGTCCTCGTCGTCGTTGCCGTCGTTGCTGACTCTCGTTGCAGACCCGCACGTACCCCTCATGTGGGCCCCCTCCTGAATCGTGGAGTCGGAATGAATATTAACAATGCCTTAGGTCAGAGCCATACGACCCGTACGTTCCCCGCAACGGTGGTGCCCCCGCAGCAGGCGGGAGCCAAGGCCAAGGCCAGGGCACTGCCAAGACCGCCGCCATCCAGGCCCAGATCGACGACACCGTCGGCATCATGCGCGAGAATATCACCAAAGTAGCAGAGCGTGGCGAGCGGCTTGATTCGCTCCAGGACAAGACAGGTCCGTGCGACTCCAACTCCGACTCTTCCACAATGCTAATGTATTCTACCGCACAGACAACCTCGCCGTCTCCGCACAGGGATTCCGCCGCGGCGCAAACCGTGTACGGAAGGTGGGCTTTCTCTTTCCCTCTCGTTGCCGACGACGACGCTAACCTAACGTTGCAGAACATGTGGTACGTCTGCCCCCCCATTGAGAGTTGGTACCCCGCTCATTTGGTCCCGCTTCTCCTTTCCTCCTTTGTTTTCATTATTCGCTTTCGTTCCGTGACCGCTGTCCTGCATCCGAATCGACTCGACTCACACCCGCCACCGTGCGTCTCCGACTCACCTCCGACTGCACGCATGCACGTATGCTTGCGCTGTGAAGGTGGAAAGACATGAAGGTACGTTTTTACCTACGTACCCCTCCTCGTCCTTTTCCCATCCCCTCTTCTGCTTCCCCGCCTTCCATTCCCACCTGCCCTCCTGCTTCCCACCCATATCCATCCCTGTCTCTGCGACTCCTTGCCTTTCCTCCTTCCTTCATTGCCGAGTCGCCGTCGTCCAATCCCCTCGTCATCAATTATCTATCATCCCTACTTTCCCCTACCATCCCGCTCGCTCGTCCTCCCACCCTCCGATTCCCTCCTTTCTTCGCCTTCCCACCGTCACTCCTCTCCTCCCTCCAACCCACATCCCCTCCTTCCCCACCTTTCCTCTCCTCTCTCCCAGTCCTTTCATCTCCCTCCCTCACCCTTCCTCTCCACCCCATCACCCTTCCTTCACCCCTTGCGTCCCCGCTCCCTCTTACCTTCTTCCCGCTCCTCCCCTCCTCCCTTGCCTCACCCCCTTGCCTGTCCTCTCTCGTTGCCTCGACCCCGACCTCCCCCCACTCCCCCCCAACTCCGTTCCTTCCGCCCACACCCTGTTCCTCCCCACCCCCTTCTCCATTGCACGAAAAAGAAAACTAACCCCTTTCCCCCCCACAGATGCGCATCATCATCGGCGCCGCCATCGCCGTCATCATCATCATCATCGTCGTCTCCGTCGTCAAGGCCACCAAGAAATGAGATGCTTGCGTCTCTTCCCCTCTTCCCCTCTTCGTTGCCGCCCTCTCCTCACCACCCCGTACACCGTATCTACCCGCCGCGGACTCGTATGCGTAGCCAGTTAGTTACCTATTATATATCTTCCTTTCTTCTCCCTTTCTTTCTTTCTTCCCTCTGTTCGCGTTCGTGTTGATGTTGATGTACGTTGTGCCCCGCCTGCCTGCCTGCTAATGAGGATCCCAAAATGCACGGAGGACGTGCGCCCTCACTTAGGAATCGTACTGAAGTATCCGACATTTCGAATTGCGAGACTTTGACGGTGCACATGCAATCTGGATTCTGGATTCTGGATAGCGCTAATATGTATGTACCTGTCTCGGTAACCCAGACGTTCTGGTGAGGGTTCCGGACCGAGTGATCCGTGATTGACAATCGGAGTTTTAAAATGAAGTGCAGAACGTTCCGGTGTGATCTCTGCACTTCATTTTCAAACTCCGATTGCCAATCACGGATCACACCGGAACGTCTGGGTTACCGAGACAGTGTATGTACTGAGTCGAGCCTAAGGCGTGTATGAAGAGTGTTAGATGGATGTATACATTTGTGGTGGAGGGTAAGGTGAGATAGACAAGACAAGACGATAAATAATGCATCGGCCCGCCCGGCTTTGAATGGGTGGATCATGGATCATATGTAGGACGCGCACTAGCGACGACACCGCCGCCGACGCCAAAGCCGCAGCCGACACTGCCAGTCTAAGCGGCGTCCGAGTCCTTTGTTTAGCTGCCTGTGGGCCGCTTGTTGAGATGTGAGTCCCTCGGGCTCGGGGCGTCTCTGGGGAGGGAGGGAGGGGAGTGGAAGGGAGGGATGGAGGGCGAGGAGGGAGAGAAGCGGAAGGGGGGTGGAAGGGAGGGAGGAAGGGAGAGGGGGAGGGAAGGGTGGACAGAAAGCGGGAGGAAGGAAGGAAATAAGGCGCTAGTGCCCTGTCCAGTGAAGTGCGTCCGTGCTCCGAGTCGCGCAGGGAAGGAAGGAAGGAAGGAAGGAAGGAGGAAGGAGGAAGGAGGAAGGGATGTCGGGGTCGGGGCCTGAGGCGGCGTGGAACGTAGGAGGGTGGGAGCAGGGAGGAATAGTGTAGAGAAGACAGAAGAAAGGACGCAGAGTGGGAGGTAGACAAAGGCGGAGGTGCGTCGTTTCGGCGGGTCGTTTGAAGGGGGGCGGCGGAGGGCGGCGGATACGGGAAAAAAGGGAGGATGGAGAGCGAGGGCAGAGGGAAAGCGAAAGGGTAAGGGTAAGGTAGAAGGGAGGGAGGGAGGCGGAAATGAAGGTGGCGAGGCGAAGAAAGGACGAGAAACCGTAACGCATCGCGTCGCATTGGATCGGGAGGAGGGGGGGTAGGGGCCATACGGAGGAACGTAAGGAGCGGAGGCGAAAACGGGGGAGACACTGCAGGAGAGGGGAAACAGGAGTGTGGTCTCGGCGCGGGCAAGGGAGGAGAGTGGGAGGACTAGGCGAAGGGAGGAAGGAGGACGGGAGGGGGGGCGGGCGGCGGGCCAGTGTCGGTGCAGTGCGTTGGAGGAGGCGGAAAGGGGAGAGAAAGGAAGGAGCGTCGAATCGGGAGGATGGAAGCGTCGGGGGGGAGGGAGGGGAGCAGGGGAAGTGGGTATCGTGCCGGCGTCCTTGCAGAGCGTTGGAGGGCGGGAAGGGGAAGAAGGAGCGTCATTTGGCGTGTCGCGGAGGCGGATGTGTGAAACGAGGGGACAGAATGGAGGGCGAGGGAGGAAAAGCGAGGCGGCGAGAGACGGGGGGAGGGCCAAAGGGCGGCCCGGAGAAAGGGAGGAAACAAGTGAAAGGGGAGAGCGAAGCAAATGGACGGTGGGCGAGGCATGCAGCAGGAGGCGGGGCGAGGCGAGGCGTATACAGAGGAAGGAAAGAAGAGATAAAGGTAAAGGCAAAATGAAGCGGAAAGGGAGCGAGGCGGAGAATGAAGTCCAAGAAGTGGCCGTGGGGTTCATGAATTACGCCTCGCCCCGCCGGTGCCTGTGTCAGTATCAATGCCAGCTAGCGCGTGAGGTGTAACACAGGCGGTGGGGAAAAGGCGGGGGAGGTGGTGCGGCTAGGAGGTAGGACCAGGCGGGAAGGCCGCCAGTGGTTGTAGGATTAGGAAGGTTAATAGGCTACCGGTCACTCCGCCGTCGTCTTGTCGCCACCGCACGCGCAAATAAAAGAGACGCCCGCATCCGCCGCCGTCCCGTGTCCCGCGCTAGGGGGTTGCGAACGCGAAAGGGTAACGCGAAAGGAAACGCACTAAGGAGGCGGGTGGGCGGAGGGAGACAAGGGGGGCACTTGTTGCATCCGTGAGGCCAGAGCTCCCTCAACTCGAATCCGCTTCAGACCTTCAAATGGTCCTCTAGCTGGAGGTCGCGCCATCCTCAGAACGGCGAGGAGTACGCAGACGACAGATGGCTCCTAGGGTGGCAATGCAGCTCGAAATGCGAGCTGGGAGGGTGAGTCCGCGTAGTCAGACACGGAAGGAGAGGAGGGGGCATTGGTTTATGGAGACTCGGGGAGGCATCAAGTATGAGAGATGGACTGCTGCGATGCGATAGGGCGTGCCGGGTGCCAAGAGGACGTAAATGGCTTGCATTAAGGGCTCGGGATCGATACACAGAGCAGACCCTGCACCGTCCAGACCCTTGTGCACGACGGTCGAGCCGCTGACGCG